AACACAAACAAACACACCACCTTCACTCCTGACTACATGAAACAAACACACACTGTAACATGAGGGCATGTCACCACATACATGACCCTTTAAAGCCTTGGCTACAGACATGCATAGACAAACACACCAGCGCAGTAAATGGGAACCACACAGCTGCTTTCGAACAAAGTCGCTGTCTCAGTGGGTGAGCATATAAAAGCCCACACGGCCCAGTTTCTCGACCACTGCTTTAGCTCTACTGTGTGTGCCCATGTGTCAGAGCGCCTGGTGAATTTTTAAAGAGTGTGTGGAGCACTTTGCCCAAGGAGGAGCAGAGTGGATGTGTTCTGTCATCAGACAGAGAAAATGCCTTTGTTCCTCATCTTTCTCCTACTCCTTTGCTGCATGGAGACATCAGAGTTATGGAAAGACAGTATGTGAAGCACACACTCAAACACACAGATTCACACTGACAAACCCACACAAACACCGGAAATGTTTTGCCGTTGCCAAAGCCAAAGAGGCAGTTGATAAGACGAAGGGCCGAATGCGTCATCGTTCATGTGGTTGTGTGCTTGGGCGAATATGTGCATCTGTGCTGCGTTTGTGTTCTTGTGGCCGAGATATGATTAGTTACCCCATCAACTTGTCCTTGCATCCATCAAAAGGAAAAATGATTTCTGCCGCCAGAATGACTAGGAGCTGTGATTAATCAATTAGCTGATCAATAAGTCTGTCAGTTTATAAGCTGACCTGTCAGTCAGTCGATGAGTGTTTTGGCCAATGACCGGCCACTGATGGCTCCCACTTCCTGCCTCTGCTGTGGCACCGTATGCGGCAGGGAGCGCTTCCTCCAATGGAAGAACTGCAAATACCATAAGCCCCATCAAACATTCACAGGCAGAGGGAGAAAAGGAAGAAGAGAGAGACAGCTGAGAAACAGAAGCATGATTAAAAAAAGAGAGAACATAGGAAGGAGGGAGGGCTGGAGAGATGAGAGTGGAGGAAATAAAGGAAGGAAATACTGACGAGGGAGCGATGGAGAGGTAGATGATGAGAAAGAGGGTGACAACACTTGGTGTGCAAGAGAGAGAAGAAGAGCTAAAGAAGGAAACAGAGAGAGCAATGGGGAAGATAGAGAAGGAGGCAAGTGGCGAGAGAATGTGTTTAATTATTCAGCATTATCCATGTTCTTTATTTATGGCCCTTTTAGAGCAGCCAGTAGAAGCTATATATACACACACATACTGCAGGCACAGGCTGATCCCGTAAGTACAGCTCACCAGGGAAATTTCAACCCAAAAAAAATGTGATTACATATTGATAAGAGAAATATTCAGAGGAGAGGGACGAAGAAGTGAGGGGGGTGAGGAGACAGAGGAAGGAAAACAAGAAAACAGAAAAGGAGAAGTCAAACTCACCACCACTCTTGACTGAGCTATTTTTTGCACACCAGGAAACTGCAACAGAACAGAACCCGTATTGCTTCAAGCCATTTTTTTCTAATTGAGATGTGATTTTAAGTGCATGGGAAGAAACGAGAGAGGGGTGGAAAGAGAGAGAGGACAGAGCAGTGAGGACTAGATCTGTATCATTTAACTAGATGGGCTCATGGAATTGTTGATAAACCTGTTATCTCCTGCACCCAGACTCAGAACTGCAGCTGCATGGCACATTACTGGCCCACCGTCACCTAAAACATAAAACGCTGTTCTGGCTATTACTATCACACATGCTAAAGGATGCATGCATGGTTACACATAAACCTTCACGCCTCTACTGTGGCTCCATTACACATAATACACAGAATAAAGATTACTGCAGCAGAATGTCGTCATGGTCTTACCGCAGAAAGAGCAGATGCGGTATCTGATCTGAGAACACTTTTTTCATTATTGGTGCATTGTTTTGTCATGTTTATATGTATTTCTGTTAAATGAAATGTAGCTGTGTTTAGATTTTAACTGGTGCATTTTTCATTCCATCTGACAGGCTCATTAAAGTTTCAGTAAGCCCAGAGGTAGCCTAAATTTGTCTGTCCACAGAAATTAGCGTTTTAATTTCAGTGAAATGAGAAAAAGTAAATTCGCAGTTAGGACAATTTTATTTGATAACGCATACAAATAATCTACGTAAATTTCACAATAAAATTGGACAATAACACACCCGTGTAGGTTGGGTATATATCCTGGTGCTTCTCAGGTTTTAAACTGCTGCAGCAAACACTGGTGTGAAGGAAAATATCCAGGCACAACTTGTTAACTTGCAGTCTATGATCACAGAAACATCAGAGCAAAACTGAGCAAACTGAATTTATTTATGGAATCCTAAGGAGTAAAATCATGTTTACAGCCTGTCTGACTCTAATCTAAGAAAAAACTCCACCTGTGTTCACTCCACAGCACACTGACAAGGATTCATTGATCCCGACTGGGGATACTACAGTCTACTATATATACACTACTGTATTTTCCTTGTTATGTTTCTGATATAGCAAGTGTCTAAAAGTGATTCGGAGAGAGCCGTTCCAGTTCACTTATACCCACCAGGCTGAAGGTCAATTTATCATTTCAGAGAGAGATTCACCTGCTCACATGAAGTTGATCCTCCTCAGGCGGCTCGCCGTAGACAAGGGACCTCAACCGCGTGAGGAACTTGCAATACATGGCCTTTTTGCTCAAGTGACTCTGTTCCCTATCTGTATGTACGAGTTCAATCTTTTCCAATTTACATACAGTATGTACATATCTTCGTCATAGAGAAAAGGGAAGTAAGACGCACATCCCCGAAAAGAGAAAGTGCAGGTGTGTGTGCATATGATAGGCAGGCAGTCTTATCCTAAATTAATAACATGAAAGATGGAGGTCTGCAGGGGACTCTGTTTGCAGGTTCATGGTAGTTAATTATTGAGTGAATATCCATCCACCCATTTTCTAAACCGCTTAGTCCCAAACGGGGTCACGGGGGGCTGGAGCCAATCCCAGCCAGCTGCGGGTGAGAGGCGGGGTACACCCTGGACAGGTCGCCAGTCCATCGCAGGATTGAGTGAATATCTCCATCATAAAACCCTAAGCAGTGTTTGGAGCTTTAACATGTTTCAAATATGCCACCTTAGTATGAGAGGTTAAGCTTTATTCTAATGTCCAGGGGTTAGCATATCGTGGCCTTCATACACACTGAAGGAACAGTTTTTTGAAAATAACCACTACAAAGCATTTTAAACATGTTTTCTGCTGTTTGTACCTTTACTTTAAATTGAAATAGTGTATTAGGGCTGCAATTAACAATACTTTTCATTATTGATTAATATAGTGACTACTGTATTTTCTCATTTAGTCTATAAATTGTTTAAAAAATTCATCAATCTATCACATGTTGCTGTCCTGCAGCTCAAGATGGCATCTTAAAATTGCTTGTTTTGTCTGAAACATATGACAAAGGAAGCAAATGCTCACAGCCAAATGACTATGGAATGTTTCACACTTTCCTTACTATTATTAGTATCAAAATAATTGCAGCTTAGTGTTTTTCTATCATTTCAGCTTGAATGTTTTATTTTACAGTATAATTTACACCTATGAAGTTTTGAATTAGTATAATTGTTAATGTGTTTTGTCTTTATTTAGCACCTAAGGGAATCTCTAAAAGCAAATAGTCCAACACTACAACATAAAACTTTTTGGAGCCATCTTCCAACAGCAGTCATAGAAATAAACTTCAGTAGGAAGTCCACTTAATATTAATGTCCCACAGCTATATGGGTTCAGACCCAACAGACTGGTGCTGTTGCCATAGGCATTAGTAATGTATAGGAACAGACTGGCTGAATGTCAGCCAATAAATGAGCTGTGACTTTCACCAACACAGCAGAGTCAGCAATAAATGAATACACATAGCTCTGCTGCTCTGTCCCTTTTGTGTTTTTCCTCACTTTTGTCCCTTACACCGTCTCTCACACACACACACACTCACACACACACACACACACACACAAAGTTTATGTTTCGTAGTCCATGGGGACTTTACATTGACTTACATGCATTTCCTGTAGACTAACCCTAACCTTAACCAGAACCACTACTTGCCTAACCCTAACCCTGACCCCAACCTTAACCTAACCCTAAACCATGTTGCCACCCTAAAATTCAATTTCTTGCCCATGGGGACCTCAATTTAGGTCCCCACCGTGAAATGGGTCCTCATGAGTTGGTATGGAGTCAGGAAGAAGTCCCCACGTAGCAGGAAAAACATGTCCACACACACACACACACACACACGGACGTCAGCTTATATTTAGAAGCACGGAGAAGCATGTTCAACCTCTGCGTGACCTTTCATCTGGTCCAATCAGCTGTAAGAGCAGCTCCTCTCCATCACCACCTGACCTTGACTCTCTCCATTAGACACACTGTCTCACACGCAAAAACACATGCACTCAAGGGGCCTTCACATGTCCACACTGCCACATATATTAAAAAAATATATGTTTATTCTAGCTAGAGGGGATTTGACAAAGTGCCCCAGGCTGGTGCCACATCCTGCACAATGACAGAATAAGGGAACAGCATCAGGAAAAGGAAGTGGGCACTCTGAGAACATCACGCGACAGTGACATGGACAGTGAGATAGTGTTTAAATGACAGCAGGGACCACGTCAGTCCAGCTGACAGCAAAAACCTCAAACCACAGTTGTGACACAGCGTCAGACCAAGCACCAAACACTTCCCCAAACCCTCACAAAGAAACTGATGTAAATACAGTAGGGACAAAGAGAGAAAGAAGAAAATGAGTAATGCAGAGTCTCCAAAAAGCACTTGAATATGCCCCAGATTCTGCTTCCTCTCTCTGCAGTTAAGTCTCACATTTGCTCCATTTCTCTCAAGTTTGTGCGCGGCTTCCTTCTGACTGTTTCCTTCAGTCACAGGGCACATTTCTATTCTTTATTCCATACAAGATAGGGGAGCAAGATATCAGAATGGTAGTCTAATGTGTATCAACACCTGTTTAAACAAGTATCTTACCTTGTACACCTGTCCATAGGTGCCATTTCCCACCAGCTCAACCAGTTCAAAGATGCCAGCCGGATCCTAGTAAAATCAGAGGAAACATAGAGGGATTGTTAAGATAAACAGGGCCAATAGAAGCATACATTCATATATTCAGCTCAAAATAATATTAACAAAATCTTCAGAATGTTAAAATATTTTATAATGCAACAAATAGTGTATATTGAATCTGATGTAGAAAATAATCACACGCATGACAAAACCCTTCATGTCTACAGATGGTATTGTCAGCAGGTCGATCAATCGGTGCAATGCTCTGGTCCACACTGATGGATTCATATGGAATTTTGTACAGACATTCATCCCCAGAAAATGAGTCCTAATGATGATTTTGACAATGCAGTGACTGTTCCTTTAATGCCAGCAGAATGCTGACCTTTGCTATTTTTGTGAAACTCCCAACTTGGCATTATAAGAACTCTTATAGCATCAACATCAAGTCAGAGTTGTAATTTGTCCCATACCAGAAAAAATTTGACATTCCCAGCAGCCTCAGTTGTCCTTTGCGCTAACACACTAAAAAGAAGTTGGTAAACATTACAACTGCTAAATATCAGCATGGTAACTGTCTTTGTGAGCATGTTAGCATGTCAGCATGCTAGCTTAGCTGCACAATCTTGATGTCCATCTTACAACAGTGGACTCTTGCATTTTTAGCAGCAGTGGGAGCTGGACCTCTAACCAGGCAGTGTTGATGTCTTGCTATTGCAGCTATCTGGGTGTTGATAACGTAGGCTGGTTTGAAATGCAGTCCTGGATTGTTTCAGGCTTGTGTCCAGACTAGCTAATAAAAGCCCACAGTCGCTGGGTTGCCAACACAGAACTTAGTGCATCTCTGACAAGGAGCTCGAACAGAACATAAAACCCACTGACCCCTGTGCACACACAAACACCGTCCCCTTCCTCTATGCCATGTGTTGCTACGGTGTTCCAACAATAGTTGGTATTCGCCCTCTTCCTTCCTCCTGCCTGTCTTTCACACACTCTCCTCCACCAGCTTCTGTTCTCCAACCAGCTAAAGTCAATCCATGTCTCTCTCACTTGTTTTTCTACACATTCTCTCTTCCTCTTCTTCATTCCCGATGGAGTCCGGGACAAGACTTTTTTTTCTAATGCTCATCTTATTCCAGCAGTGTCCCAGAAACATTGAGGCCTTTTTGCCAGCTTTGTATCCCTGTGCATCCACCCCAATAAAAGTTTTGTAAATGTTACACACCATCATACATTTTGTTTCACCATCAACTCTTCAAATTGTATGCCTCATTCTTGCTGCAAGAAGTGCGTATAGCCAGTCTTGGGACCTAATTTGCTCAAGACATTCACACCCACAATGTTGGTTAATTGTGTAGTATCAGCACTGTAAATGCTCAAGTACAATCAAGAGTGTGGTTTTCTGGTGTGATGTGGCTCTATCTCATTATACTATAAACTGCTTTTAATGGGGAGTCCCTTGAACTTAGAGGCAATTCTTTTGGGTTAGCTAAAAAACATGAGCATCCCAAGTAATTTTATCATTTTTCACCACTTTTTTTATTTGGAAAACGGCTCTGGAATATCATCTAAAGGACAAGCCCAAAAATATGTTTAAAAAAAATATACAAATCTCCACGTGTGAGCAAAGCTAGAGACTTCGCTGATTGAAATAAACAATAGTATAGATTTGCACAGGGACCGGTGCAAAGCAGACACTATAGCACAACACCTGCTTTTTCACAGATAATTCCCCTCAATAAAACGTTCTGAAAAGCCACACGCACGGTCTATTTCCATCCCGTCTCTCTTCTCTAACCTCAGCGCTTTTCTCTGCTGCATCTTTTGTTCACAGCCTGTCCTTTTTATCACTCTTCTTTGCTTTCTTTTTCTCACTTTCTGTGCCTCTCTTTCATACCATGTCTGTGAAATTTCCGCTGAACTTTCAGTTAACATTGTTGGCATAACATGCACATCTACACTACACAGAGAAGAAAATGATACAAGACTGAAGGCCAAATGAAAAACAACAACTTTGTAAGTTTATGTAAGAGTATGCACAAGATGTCTGCATGCGTATTTTTATAAAGATTAACTTCTGTTCTTTCACAACTGTCCCTCCTTCTCTCCCCCCAGTTTCTCCCCCCCCTCTCTTTGTCTCTATATGTTTGTTTCTGCAGGTCTCAGCAGACCTGCCAACCTGTCAGCTGTTTCTGAAGACAGAGACTTGTGCTTTTGTTCGCTCGCTCCTTCCTTTTCCTCTCATTTTTCACCTTTCTTTTTCTGTTGTTTGCTGCAGACACACACACACACACACACACACACACAAATGCAGACAAACGCATTCTCTCGCACTCTGTCTCAAGTACATCCTCCTGCTGTATCGCTCTCTTACACTCTCATAACCACACACACTCAAACACTGTGCCAAAAGCACACTCCTACACAAGGGCCAGTGTTCAAATGTCCTAATGAGTATGAGTGGGCACAAAATGAAGAGTGTGTGCCTAACTAAACGCATGTGTACGTGCGAAAGACGGTTGGAGACATACTGCAAGCTGTTTTCAACAGTGCAGACAGCAGCATTCTGCAAGCAGTGCGACTGTTCGCTTTACTATCAGCTTATGCAGGTAAATTCTTCCTGCCCTCGCTTCCTTTTTCTCTCTCTAAAAGTGTCTGTGTGTGTTTGGCAGCTGTGAGAATTTACTCTCAGGACTGCATACAAAGTTCTGATAGCAACTCCCAAGACTAATGTACTTTCTTTATCTTTCTGGTTTTATACAACAGAAAAATTCTGATAAAATAAAAAAGCGATACACACACACACACACACACAGAGGCTCATGCTGTAAATGCATATGCATAAAAGAACCACAAGCACAGGAAGACACACTGTATGATGGAGTGCATGCATGCGGAGCTTTCATTTTGCCCACACACGCCATTCAGAGAGTGAGTGCTGTGGCTAGAGACAGGAGTGTTTTTGCTGCTGCAGTTCATACATGTCCTCAGGCTTGCTGATAAAAATATAGCGCCATATCATTCATATTTTATAGGCCACTTGCAGAATGAGTACTCAGCACGCGCCAGACTTTGTCAGCATGTCTGCTTGTGTGTGCGCATGCATGCACATTTGAGCGTCTGCAGTTTAGAATTCCCTATGACTGGAGCAATTTTACCCCCTTCCCTTTTTCTCATTTCGTGTTCATGCTGAGAGTTTGCCAAAGTCACATGACTGCCACATGGACTCATTGGTGGCCAGTGAATCACAGTGCGAGTGCGTGTATGTGTGATAGTTGAGTAACAGTAACACATTATTTATACCTTCTAAGACACTAGTAAAAGTGCTGAGATAAGCAAGAATGAAGATCAGCTATGTGAGATGTGAGGTAACCACACACACACACACACACACACACACACACACACACACACGTCATATTGCAAAAATATCAACATTTGAGAAGTGATTTACTTTTTAAATTTGATGACTGGGCAGATTTTTTTGCTTTATCCAGTGGCTTTCGAAATTGTTTCATAGCAGACCAGACATCTGAGAATTTTCCAAACCAACAAAGGAATGCACCTTCCATCCATTTCTATGAAAACATTGTTTTTAAAACCTGGCTTTACAAGGCTTTTCATGCAACAGTGTGTAATATAATACACATCTTTAACATAGGACATGATTTGCATGACTTCACTTACCACTTACCTACAAGTATGAGGAGGAACATAACATATCCAAAGCATTACATTCATTGGTCATGGATGGCTTTGGGTTCTGGTCATTGATGAACTAGGATCGACTCTGGGCACAGAGACACTGAGAGCGACGCAGAACTAAAGCCACTTTTATCTCCAAGCGGGGGCTATAGGGTCCATGAGCAGGCCCTCAGAAATAACAGGTTTTGGGGTGCAGGGCTACAGTTCTTGTGAAAGCCACTTTACAGCGTGTGAAGCCTTTCATGACTAACCCTAACCTTAATTGGCTCCACTACATTCCTAACCTCAACTCTTAATCTAACCAGAAGTTAATCATTGCTCTGTGCTTAACCCTGACACCAGAACACCTTTCACACATCTCAGGTCATCTGATTGCCGCTACACACAGAGATGTGAACACATTTAATGTGATCAGCGAAGCACATTCAGAGATTCTAGACTGACCATAATACATAAGCATTTCCTTAAAATATTTCATTACACGACTTTTCCCCAGTAAAGCTCATGATCATGCATGTACCCTAACGTAACTAATGTCCCCTCATGGCTTCCTTCTCAGATTCACAACTAAAGACATGCTGCTGATTGAGGAAGCGGAGCAGTTAATGTTTGTAATGATTAATCTACTGTCACTTGCCAAATTCTGAAAAGCACTTGAGATTACCAGCCGCTTTTGTTTGTTTGCTTGCTGCTGGCTAACACTCAACTTCCTGAGTCATTGTGAAAACTTCGATTCATACCCAAAACACAGACTGATATTTGTATAAGGAGGGAGCATCCGTGTTGCCGGTCCTACATTTTTCCAGATAACTTATTAAAGTTAAGTGCTTCAGCTGAAGGACAAAAACTTAAAAGCTGAGTAAACAAAGGCACACCTGCTGATCAGTGAATGGATTCTTCTTGTTTAAACCAGTTTGACTTTATACGTTTACATCAGTTCTGAATGTCTAAATCAGCCATGTCACAAAAAAAAGCCATAGAAATGCTACTGAAGGTAATAAAAACAGGAGTGAGTCTCCCGTTTTCTCCTCCTGTTGATGTAGGCCACCTGCGTATCTTAAGAATATGTTTATGTGCAGCAGACATATAGAAAGTGAATTACACAGAAGTGAGGCAGAGTGAATTAGAGACCCTAAGAAGATGATAGGTGTCACGCTGGGGCCAGCTCTGCCTCTTATAAAACCACTTACACTTAACTACATGGCTCACTATATGGCTTGCTTTTACAAGAAGATGCTGTGAAAGCCTAATTCCCAGTACACCTCACCCAGACATGTATAGTACATTAACAGGAGCCAACTCTTAATCACAGATTTACAGCCCGACAAAGACGATTCGCACCACAGCGTTTGTTCTGTGGCTCTAACGAACCCATCGGTTCCTCGCCTCTTGCCTTCCATCCGTCTCTGCCAGACATCTCACACCTTTTCTGTCATCTCTCCCTCCATCCCCCTCATCATTCACTTTTTGCCTATACTGCGTTACGATCCATCCTTCCTCCTGCCCTGCACCATGCGAGTCACACACGACGGAGGGATTCACCTCCTACTATGGGCTTGTTAACATGCACATGATCCCTTCGAGCACTTCAGATCAAGTGTGACGTGCTTTGTGTTAGACTGAGAGGAAACAGACGTGTTTATATCCCTAAATGTCATCAAAACATGCAGAAACAAGGTTTTACAGCAAAAAGCTAGAATCCAGAGGATCCCAGGTCAACTACAAGCAAGCAGAGTGGAAAGGAGGGTGGGAGGGAGAGGAGCATTTCTCAGCAACAGACTGCCATACAGTATATAGACTATTCATGAATAAGCTCTGTGTAAGCCTTGGGCACTGATGTGGCCCCGTTACTATGGTGTCTGTGCTGTGGGGCTGAGGAATGTGGCCTTACTGAGCGACAGGGATGGAGAGGGAGAGAGGGAGGAGATTTGGAGACTGGTCTTTGCCTTGTGCTACTTTAGTCACTGGTCACATCTCCACATTTAGCCCGAGCTCAGCTTCTGTCGCTTTCTTCTTCTTCCTCTGCTCTCTCAGTCTTGCTAAGTCTCCACACACTTGGTTTCTGTCTGACTCCATTGATCCTGCTCTGTTCGTCCATGTCTTTCCCACTGACTTTCTCTGACCGTGTCACCATCCCTCTATCCTCACCTGCTCTCTCTCCTTCATCATAGATCTCACACCTGAGTCCCTGCACAGCACATTTGTCTACTTCCAGTGCACGCATGCTTGTGTGTGTGTGGTGCTGAGACTAGACGTCCTGCTGGTTTACCATCTGTTGTGTCGGTCAGCTGACTGGATGAACCCGTGCTCCTGACGCCTCTGACCTGTGTATCACTTTGGTTAAAAACCGCTGTCTGTACAAAAGAAACTCCACACTTTATGACACCACTTGGTGTTTTGGCTGTCATTGTGAGTCATGTCAAAACAGGAAGCAGTGGTGACATCTCTGCGCTTTCCCAATCGAGTGGAACATGCTGCATCTATACAGGTGCTGACGGGGTTGATGCCAGGCACCAGCAAATGTCACAGAGACCCCACACGGCATAAGTAATGAGGGAAAGATAAACAGAAAGATGGAGAGAAAAGGAGAAAAGTGCAGAGACAGCAAACATGAAAAGCTACTTTTCTCTCCACTCGACTTCCCACACAGTTCTGCCTGTCTCTTTGTATCACTATGTGTGTGTGTGTGTGTGTGTGTGTGTGTGTGTGTGATGGTCAGTGGGCTTAAAAGCAGCGGAGTACAAGAGCAAGCCCCACCCCCCACCTCCCGCAAAATCACAATCTCCCATCATCACCAGTGCCAGTATCAAAATCGCCCACCCCCCCAGCACATCTCGTCAGAGCCAGCTGACCTACTTCCTGTCTTGCCTAGTACAGTGGTTTGTGTGTGAGTGTGAGTGTGTGTATGTGTGGGAGGGAGGGGGGCAATAGACAGGTCCTGTCCAGACATGCTGAGGAAATAATCCTGCTTTCCTTCTGTGATTTCTCTGGTAATCCTCATTTACCTGGAGAGTTTTTGTTGCTGTGGGAAACATTTCCCTGGAAATTGTGCTGCAGGTGAGAGAGTAGAGAAAGGCAAGTACGCAGAGCAGCTAGTTACACTGGCCCTCCCATTAAGAAGGCTCGTGCCAGTAAAGCCTTAATCTGTTAGCATCCAGATTTAAGCGCTTAGCTCCCCCCTTTAGGAGCTTTAAGGTTTAAAATATCATCTGTTCTGGTCTACTGATTGAAGCTATATGATGCTTGTATCCTTGTAGCTGCCACAGTCACAGTTTGAGACACACACTTGACATCATGCATGGACTGTGCACAAACACATCCTTCCTCTTTCTTTTTCTCCTTGTTGTGTCTGTCTCCTTCTCCCTCTCCTCTTATCTTTCATGTTCTCCTCTTCCATCCTACCTTTGACTGGCGAAAACATTCTAGGTGCTGAAAACTAGCGTTTGTTGTCAACACTTCCCCTCCCTTGTGAACATTACTCTTCATGCAGGCAGGGCAGGGTTGTGGGCAGAGAGTGATAATGCTAAGAGACAGAACAGCTGGCGGAGAGACAGGGAGCTGCATTCAGTCAGTCAGACAAGATGCAGGCAATAAAACTGATAGAAAAAGGAGGAACAGCATGCGGTAGATCAGATGACCGAATGAAGAAGAAACAAACTGGTGTGATGAGAGAAAGAGACAGGAAAAGACAGACACAGTGAGTTGTATAAAAATGGACATGCGGGCACAGTCAAACAGACGAGGAGACAGGTAAATACAGGCAGGCAGACAACAGCTGCATCGTATATGTGTGTACGGGACGGGGACTGGTTTCTCAGAGCAGTGCACATCTTTAGCTGAAGCCCTTTTTCTTACTTGTGTGGAGCCGATTATTAGCTTGACAGCCATCCACATATTAGAAACACACGTGCCATGCCCAACAAAGTGAAAGCATGGGTATCCGTGCATAAACACAAGTGCAGGAGGTTGTTTGTGTGTCTGTCAATGTGTGGTTTGCAGCACACACTGGATGAACAAAAGAACTGGCTATTGCAGGGTGAAGGGGTTCAGCTTTGACGTAGAGCAGCCTACAGTGACCACAGGTAGGTTGGCACTCACACATACATTGGTGGGGGGGATTCTGGATAAATAACATTCTGGTCGTCAAATCAAGGAGCAGTGTATGGTTCAATGTGTAACACACAAGCCTGGGGAATCAGTGGTGTGCAAGAGAACCAAGTTAAATTCCACTTCTATGTGAATCAATGTTGTAACAAACTGGCCCAGGGGAAAAGACTGACAAGAAAGACACACAGACCCACCAGCAAAAGCCACAACCTCAGTTCAGCATCACACACACATTAAACCTTCCTGTTACTGACTTGAATGAAGATAAGGCTTAAGATGTGAGAGCCAGCTGGTGTTTAATATCTAAATACGAACGGATCTATGATCTGACACACTGTCGAGGTCTGGATCTATGATTTGACACACTGTGGCGGTCTGGATCTATGATCTGACCCACTGTGACGGTCTGGATCTATGATTTGACACACTGTCGAGGTCTGGATCTATGATCTGACCCACTGTGGCGGTCTGGATCTATGATTTGACACACTGTGGCGGTCTGGATCTATGACGAGGTCTGGATCTATGGTCTGGATCTATGATTTGACACACTGTCGAGGTCTGGATCTATGATCTGACCCACTGTGGCGGTCTGGATCTATGATTTGACACACTGTGGCGGTCTGGCTGCCGTCTCCCACACGTCCGCCTCTTGCAGCCTCCTCTGCTCCTGCCGGCTGCTATTCAGGGAATGCTGTCGGGTGCAAGGAGAAGGCGGAACGCACCAAGCACAGCTCACACACATCCGTTTGTTTAAGATGAAGCCACAATTTAGAAATGTGAAAAATCTTCTTACCCGCAAAGCGGACAGGTCGATTTCGTCCAGACTCCGAGCTGGAGAGTCACTTGCCATGATGGAGGACAAAATAAGCGGCTCTCAGTTGCCCGATATCCCGGAACGGCCTTTGCTGTCACGACCGTGTGGTCTTCTCTGCTGCTCAGTCTCTACTGTTCCCTCGTTCTCTCCAACACTGTGACGTCTCAGCGACCGACAAAATAACAAGAGTCCCCTTCTGGTCAGCAAGCGCGACGTGATTCCACCGGGAGCGCACGGCTAGAGCGCAAACGCGTCGCGGATGGGAAGCGAGAGCGTCTACCTCCAGGTCCATGTCAGCGAGATAGACGATACAGAAAAAGGTGAAGAGAGGTTTTCAGCTACTGCTTGTGTTGGAGCCCCTGCTGTGACAGATATACAGGGGGGCGGAGGGGCGTGGAGCAATGCCTCGGCAAGCCACGCCTGTCACTGGGCGAGCTTTGGCCAGGCAGCAGGGAGTCCCAAACTTTTTCTTTATGGTACGTTGTGCCTTTGTATTAAATGATGTTAAATTAATCTAGTATGTTATATTCTACTTTATTAAAAGGATATAGGCCTTTCTCTTTTTTTGCTGAAAAAATCTAAAACACCAGTCGTTCAGGTTGGCTTTGTTTAATTTATTCCTAATAAATCAAATAACATTACAAATAATAATACAAAAATCTCGAGATATTTCCCTTAACAGCAGTTCCAAGTGAATTTCCACATGCTAACAATTCATGGGGTGGACAAAATCCTTGAGGTCCAGTACACTACACAAAAGTAATTTACTCCTGCTCTGTACTTAAATACACTTTTGAGGCAGGACGTTATTTTCCTTCTTCAATAGGAATATTCTACTGCTGACTATATGGCTTTTCATTTTAAACTTCATTTCAGGGAGGGAAATATTTCTACTAATTACTAGATTTTTTGACAGCTATAATTACTGAAGATTCAGAATTAATAAACTATACTTTGATTACTATGGATTGCCTAACAGCAATTCAAACAATTAAAAGCCACATGAATAAACTGCTGCTGTATTAGTAACGATACTACAATAAAACACTAATTGTAATAATAATAATAATAATGTCTCGACCGGCAGGCGCTCCTTTAAAAAGGTGCTCTGCTTTTCCACATTGTCAAAGTTGAATGATAATGAGAGTCATTCTACTACATAACATAATGAGCATTTTATGTCACATTTGTTAGTAAAGGTTTCTAACGCAGGTCTTTTGTAATAGAGTAGTTTTACATTGTGATATTGTTTTTACTTAAGTGAAGGAAATGAGCACCTGTTCCAGCCTTGGACTTTTAAATCCAGAAACATTAGATCCAACATTTCACAGCCTTTCTTCCGAGCTCACTTTTGAAACTCTAAACTCCCGGTTTGTAAAGCAGGACTCCTGTTACTTGTTCAAAATGTACAGGTCAGGTTTCCAAAGACAGTTTTATTTGTTAGCCATTTAATTTACGAGATATACTTTGTTAAATGAACAGACAGAAATTAGAAATACGTTTAACTATACAAAAAAAGGTATTGTACATACAGTAAACAGAGGAAAGTGAGACCAGCAGTGGTACAGAGCTAACAGAACAGAACCGGTGTTTGATGGCAATGATAAAGAAACAAAGACTTAATTACAAATCCACAAAGATTCATACATCCACACCATACATTAAAAAATGTTTAAACTGATGATTTATATTCCATAGATAAAACACTGATAAATATAATCAGGACAAAAAACACTGAAAATTAAAAGTTTGGATTTTTTTTTTTAATCTTTGTCGAAACAAGTGGCATAATGTCCCAACCGTTCACTTAACATTTGTCAATTTCCTGTTCTTATTTCCAAAAAAAGTGTGTGTGTTGGGTGTGTGATGTAGATATGAAAAGGATTATTACACTTTAATCAGAGATCTTTGCCAAATAAAACCATTTACGTTGTTGATTTCCAACCGTTTCATAACCCTAGTGAGAATCTGACCAATTATTTACTGTAACATTTCATGCGTTTGTTGCATAAGTGAACAGAGGATTCCAAAGGAGTGATTCCTCACATCCAAGGGGGTTTATGGTCAAACGTGTTACTCTGACAGAGACAAATTAGGCAACGTGGAGTCCATGCATTCACATACTGTATACAAAATACATGTAAGCCAGTTGCCACAGAATCCATAGGAAGTTCTCTTCTATTAAGAAACTGCCAGCTAACAGGGAACGTAACAAGCAGTTTCAGACTCTATCATCACCTGTGGCATTAGCTCCATGTTTTTATTTTCATTGTTTACATTGTTTGTGCACTTAATACAGAGCTACCTACCACTATAGGACTGAGAAAACCATCCGGAAGGCTCAACTACTGTATACAGACTCTATTTTTAAGATGCTAGCACCATCTGTTGAGCAAAGAGGAAAGTGCTTCTCTGAATCTGCAGACCGGATTGTCTCATCCAGCCTCCAATGAGGCGCCTGACACTTTTATCCTGCCCCCTTAGCTGTGATCATTTTCAAACTCAGTATTACACTGGATTGAATTCACTTGTGCAACGTGTCAGATCAACTCACTTTGATTCACTTTTATTTCAGCAGTGGAGTTCATATCTCAATAATTATCTGTCACAGAACAACGTTCACAGGAAATACGTCTTTGATGGGTTTTTTCCAGAGGTGTGATTGGTACATGCATCATGTCAATCATGTTAACAAGGTCTTAGCATAGTTAGTAAATCATCAGTGAAGTTGCCTGTCGGCATGTGCGACCACAGTGACAAGCCAAGCACGTTTTGGATTTGCTGTACAGAACGGATGGCGATACTTCTGAGGTTACAAGCTTTTATACCTGTCTGGAGCAGCACATACGCAGGCTCAACAAACCTTCAGTGAGTTCATATACAGTGTACATAGCACAAACGCACCTGACGAGCATACATCACAAACTCAGTAAATCACGTGTCACCACCTCTGCGTATTTTGTGATATCTTTAACCAAGAGCTGAATAGCACTGTTGTCTAAAATTTTACCACTGCCTCACCTTGGTCCCATGGGAATCCTTGCTCTCTTATGAGCACGGTCCAAAGATCAGTGTTCAGAGTTGTGAATGATTCACAAAACTCCTAGTCCATGTGCCTGTTGTCCATCTCCACAGTTATAACTGTCCTTAACTGTGTCATCTTTTTGTTCTTCATATATCCCGAAACTTAGTGCTTACCTTTAGTGCTTAACAGTAGCTGTGACTACTGCTCAGTGTCCTTCAGTAGAAACAGATTTGAGACATTTGCAGTCACATCCATCTGTCTCTGCCTCTAATCTTTGCTGTAAAGGAGATTTCCTACAAATCCCATACCATACATGGTGACAACCACAATTCAGAGCCTTCAGTTCAGTGCGTAGGTAGGTGGCAGCTGTTTGACATCCTTTATGTCCATATCTCAGTTGGGACCATGCTCTCCTTTGCTCCAACAGAGGGCATGAGGTTGTGCTCAGACAGGAAGTCCAGAGGAAACTGGACCAGGAAGCCTCGGATTTTGTGCAGCTCCTCCTGAGCGCGGGGCAGGTCAGTCTGGGCCAAGCCTGGTTTTGACTGGAACTGCTCCAGTTCAGACATGTTCCTCACCAAGGATGAGGGAAGGCAGCGGAATACCTGCAAGTAAAACACACAAGTACTACAACCATACTGCTGCTTTTAACTAAAGCTGTTTTTAGCAACTTTAATAGTGTTGCTCCTAGGAAGGCAACATCAAACATTCAGGTTCAGACAATACTCGCTTGCCGTATGTAGAGAAAAACTTTTCTCTTTATTGTCAACATTTACCTGATTACAGTCTTTCTCAGTCGCTTTGGCACATTTCTCGAATCATCCTTGATATTTGCAAAACGGCAAGAGCATTTCTCAAAACAATGGATTAGTAGCAAAAACACATCACTTGTTCAAAATCCCTAGCATATCTCTAAAAAGTAAATACTCAAGTCAATGAACACGTCAGTACCATCAGAATGCCAAGTCCTTGTATCATCGTTGACTAACACGGCAGCTTGAATATTAGGTCATGTTGTCAGTACAACGGTGTCCTATGTAAGCATTTTCATCTGGAAACTATGGCTCAGGTTTTGATGATGACTGAAAATACACAAGGCTGCACTTGTTCTGTACGGCGTGTATCACTTTCAACAGTACAAGGTTTCACGTTACTGTATGTGGGAGATTTATTAAAGAAGAATGGACAGACTCACATGTACACTTTTACTGTTTTCACTGTCATTGTGATACAGATAAGTGTTTTACAGCACTGCATAGCACAAAGAACAAAAAGAAAGACAGCCTCAGCCATTGTAAGGCCATGACTGGCAATATTTTCCACAAGTGTGCTCCTTATTTCATCTGGAACATGCGGATGTCCTTGGCCTTTCCTCCCTCTTCCTGTTGTGCCTCCCTACCCTTCCACCATACAGCCCTACTCCTCTTCCTCCCGGCAGTTGACGCTGTTCATTTCCCAGTTTTCCATTGTCAGGAACTGTAACACTGTGTTGTGCTTGTCAATTGAAGGGTCATGAGATGCACCTTTGAGCTATTTTACAGTAGAGAACTGTAAAACGTCCCCTTCATTAGAGAAAGCCAAGATTCACCTGAGAGCAGCTCATCAGTTCAGACACATTTGCTTTAAAAAGTCTAACAGAGCTATACAGAAACAGGCTGATATATACTAAAGACAACTAGTTGACCAGTTCATCAGTTTTGCATCTGCAAAGGACTAATAACTAGTTGTTTTGGGAGATCAAACTATTCAACAGAGAACCATGTAATATACTACGATTAACATGGTAAGCAACTGCTAATGTAGAAAATAGGATACAATTGAACATAATCATCTGCATGAATGTGCCAAAAAATTTGGAATTTGTTAAAAAATGAGGAAGTGGTTATATGCACAAGTGACTTGGATGATGTGGAGGTTGAATAAGTAGTTTAGAGAATTTCATTTCTGATCCAAGGACTGTATCAAAGCGACTGAGAAAACCGTCATACCAGCCGTAAAGGTCCTTTATTTGTGAAATGCTGCCGCAGGAAGTGATGAGGGCCAAAGTCCACAGTCCCCTGTCTGTGCAAAACTGCATTCCAATGTTTACCTCATGTTGATATGAGGCTTCGTCAGCCAGACTTAATCAAATCAAGTGCATATGATCCAAAGCTGTGGCTGAGGTATGGAAATACAAAATGGAGTTTTGTATTGCACACAACTTCAGAAGATAACGACTTAATTTGATTAACTCATGCTGCTGAAGC